GCGATTGCAATTGCGATTGCAATTGCGATTGCTTGCAACGTGACAGATAACGTTTCAGAGCTCCGTAAAACCGTAATTACGAAAATTCGCACGTTTCTTTGGATATATATATGTTATATACATAAATATCTTTTTTCTACTTATGTATTTTTCATTGTTTCTTCGCACCTTTGTTGTATTTATAAAGTTCATTAGAATTCGAAATGTTACCGTTAGAAATGTGAATTTAGAAAGAATATAATATTGATCTCAGAATATACATACAATGTACAGAGCGAGATAAAAGGCAGATTACATTTGACAAATTAACGAATATTATTATTTATTTTTGCATTTTTATATATTCATTTTCCACATTTCTTCACATAATCGTTTAATTACTGATTTATATATGTATAGCGAAATACAACCGAGGCTTCGTGTTCAAGTTCTGCAGCTACTATTCTATCAACTATTGTAATTAATCCAAATATGATTTCTATGTAAAAATTCTAGATAAAGCGATTTTGATCTCACACTGTACATGTACCAAACGGGTGATTTTAAATCAAAACAACAAAGAACGTATTAATTTAAAGCATGTAAAACCTCGAGAAAACAACAGTCGAGAAAATATAACAGCGCTTGATATCTAAAATATCCAAATATCTATATAGGTAAAAATAAAAGAGTGCAATAGTGCAATTGAAACTTACAATCTGACTCACCTCCAGTTTGGCGGCATATTCGTCGGCCAATAACTCGCTTTGCCTGGTTAATTCTTGATTTCTTTCGAGCAAGGCCTTGCCAAGTTCAGCGGCGAGAACAAGATCCCTTTCACGTTGCTTCAGAAGTTCACTCGGATCTTGAAGGGTGTCCTCGTGATCGAGTGAACTTCTTCTTGCTTGTAAATCCGATATCATGTCTTCGAGAGCATAAGGCTCTACTTGTTGTTGGCACTCCTTCTTCTTTGGCAGCATCCTCTCCGAATTTGTCAGAAATTCTTCTCAATAAAACACCATTAACCGATCAAATTATTCGATGCAACGAATAAATCAAATAAAGTCAAGCTAGCTAACATTCTGCATCGATCCGTCTTCCAAGCTATTGTTCGTCATTATTTCTAATTTATCGCGCGACGATAAATACAATTAATTTGATTTATTATTATTCGCGTATGAATAATTTAGAATATGCTTTTTTCTTTTTAGTCGAAATTATAATAGAATAACGTTTATGTCGAACGTAAATTTTCTCGTAAAAGTATTGAAAAATAATGACGAACAAAACATGTTTCAAAGGAACATATAAACACACACACATATACACTGCACTTCACGAGACTTGTTCACTACCACGTATGCACCGCCAGGTAATGACTCACCGTGTGCACGCGTCCAACGGAAAATAAATATTACGGAATCGTAGTTGATTTTTTTTTTGTTTGATAACAAAATATATAATAGCAGCAAAACACCTGACACGCGCGAACGCTCGAAGCGAACTGAGGTTCCGCCAGTATTCGTTAGTTCTCGTACTCCCGCGCACGAGGTGACTCGAAGATAGACGAGCTCGCCCGAATTCGAACGAACCGACGAACCCGCCGGCTCTTAACCTACGAAATTAATACAATTGAAGAGGGGATGAATTAACGCGCATTGCGGTTCAAATATGTATATTTAAATCCAACGACATGTAATTTGCCTATTTTTATATTAATTAACAAGGAAATTATGTTTTTATTAATATTATATATATGTATTAATTACCTACGTATACTTATACGTTTTTTTACGTCATTATTCTTATTCGTATATATATATATATATATATATATATATATGCAATTTATATGTATTTTCTAACAGTATATTTATATATCCTGAAATAAATTATCAATAAAAATCGTAGTTAAATGTTATACAGCATAATCGATTAGTTGAAACGCGTAAACACCTGACAAAGGCTTCAGCATTCTATTCCCGATCGACCCGCCCGCCGACATTCCCCACCACCGGTGAACTAATCGCACGGATGACCGACTCCAGGGTTCTAACGTACCTTCCCCCACCAATATACTCGACACCTGGCCGAGCACACCATACGAGCCACCTGAGTCGATCGCACCGAAATTATAGATCACAGTAGAGACTCGTTCTCGCATTCCTCATATTTTTACAAATATTTATTATTATACATATTATATATATATATATATATATACATTACTCTAAAGCAGATTTCTAAACGAACATCCTTTTACTACTATTATCTCGATAGAACTAAAACTCGGTTGATTTCATAATTGAATCACCTCGTAAGCAAAAAGAAAACAATAATAATTACGAGTTCACGCTCTTACGCCAGAATTAAATGACGCAAACTCCAGACTTTCTTCGTCATCCGTGTCCAAGTGGAGTCCAAGAATGTAATGATCCTGAACCCACAGCTATGTTTTATATAACATTGAGCAAAACCTTAGCAAATAGATGCAACCCTGTTGTCTTGATAAATAGATGTAACATCATCACATAAAAAAAGTTTCATCCATCTCTATCTCTTTCACTTTCTTTCTTTGTCTTTTCCTTTCTCCTTCTCCTTCTTTCTTTAGAGATTTCGAGACGATACGTACCTAAAACGGTGCCTGGCAACCGAGAAAATCAACAAAAAGAATGGACACATACATAGGTACATAACAGCTGTCGAAACTCAGCAATAGACAGCAGATGTCTTTCTCAAATGTCGTTGATCGACATGACTGAAGATCTAAAAGAAAAAAAAAGAATAGATATCAAGTATCTTTCGAAACATAATCTTCCAAAATAATCATAATAATTCTCGACCTAACTATTTGAATTAAAAGATACAACACACAGAGAAAGTATAAATTGTGAAATATAAAAATGCAATTTTTAAGAACCAGTAGTGCAGTTCAAGGAGCGTTAGAGATGGAGACTATGCCAGAAGTCGAACTAACAAGATTAAAGAGGCAGTATAGGATAATGGAAAATGATCGTTTGAAATGTGCAGAGGAAGGTGGTCTTCAGCTTCGTAATCAACAAATTATGATTGCTCGATTGGAGTATGAGAAAGCTGAATTGTTGCTTGCAATTAGGTCAGCTAAATCAAAGAAATTTCTTAAGAAAGATGAAGCAGACGATATAAAACTAAAAGAGTTGTTCCATCAACGTTCCAAATATATTGATTCTATCAAGTCCGAAAAACAACAGATTAGTGAACTGAATAGGCAAATTGGACAGGTCACTGGTATTGCCAATATATTCATTTTTCTATCTATTTCTTTTTCAATAATCTTATGATAATTTAATTAATCCCAACACAATGATACAGATATCGAAAGAAGTTTCAATATTAAGAGAAAAAAGTTTAACGGATGCACAAGCCAAGGAAAATGCTGTGAAACATAATAAACTTGTGTTTATATTGGAGAATCGATTAGAAGTAGCTACGAGAAGATTTAATACAGTTGTATCAGAAAATGCTAAGCTTCGTAGGGAGATTGAGACATTGTTGAAAGAGAGAGCACAATTTACAGCACTCTGGAATAAATTAATTGGTCAATTAAACACTGGAAAGCAAATTATTAACGATTTGATCGAACAGGCTACTGTGACTTTTAATCAAAGGGATGAAGAGATGAACAAAATTCAAGCTCTTCGTGAAAGGTATCTTTTAATCTCTAGTTAAAATGTAAACAATTTTTCTTAATAATTACTTCAATTTAATCTTAGAGCAACGAGGGATCTCAATACTCATACAGCAGAAATGTGTGAACTTCAAAGAACTCTGGACAATGAAATGAAATTACAGGAATTTCTTGGGGTCAAAGGTCAATATAGAAGAACTGTAGATTTGCAGGTGAAACAGGAAGCTGAGAGAGCTGCTAAAAGACAAGAACAACAAGATAAAATAGCTACTTATACGCATATTCTTGATACGATCAAAGAATTTACAGGTAATATTATTTTTATTACTTTTATGTCAATAATTTTCTATTTCTGTGTATAATTTGAACGTTCTTTAGGTGAGAGCAATATTGACAAAATTGTAGCTCACTTTGTCAAGCAAGAGGAAGAAAATTTTGCACTCTTCAATTATGTTAATGAACTCAATGATGAAATGGAGAGTCTTCAATTAAAGATGACTGAGTTGACAGTTGCCATTGATGAAGCCAGAGCGTTGCATGAGTTTAGAGAAAAACAACAGGCAGAAACGTTAGAAACTATTACAAATCAATTGGAAGAACAGACTAAGCTTGCGGATGATGCTGAAGAAGAACTTTCAAAGGTAATATTTGATTACTATTATTACTCTCACCCTGATTACTATCTTCACCTTTTATTTTCCTTTTTCAGTGCGACGAGGAGATAGAAAAAATGTTGAAGGGAATAGAGGCTCTCTTCAAGGCTGTTAAATGCGACAATTCACCTATTCTACAATTACTGGGTGACAATTCTCATGTTACCATGAGCAATGTTATGTTGTATCTTAGTATTATCGAAAAACGTATCACAGAAATGATGCATAAAGTTTACTGGGTCGACAAAGCTACCAAGTCCCAACAATTAAGACTCGACGAAGAGAAGAAACCAAGATTGAAAATTCCTTCTCTGACACATATTGCTCCTACCCAACCTTGTGCCCTGTGAGTCCTTAATAATTATCTTTTCCTTTAAACAATTAAAAGTTAATCATCTCCTTTAACGTTTTTCCTATGATTTCCTATGCATTTTTCATTATTCATGTCAAAAAATAACAATATATTCAACCATATAGCTGCGTCGAGAAAGAGGAAATGCAGATTATGACCGAAGGTTTAGAAATTCCACTCTCTCGAGAAGAAGCAATAGAGAAATTGAAACAACATCTCGAAGAAAATGATTACTCTGAATTACTTCATAATGTATCTGGTTGTCATTTACCAGCTGCTAGAAAAATCATGCAAAAACGTTATCAATAATAATCTTAAAACGAAGTCATTAAATTAAATGAATATCGTCTCTGATAGATGTTTTTTATTTATTTCTATACTACGATTTTTTCGCTGCTTCCTTCTTAGTAGTAGTTATAATACGTCTTAACTCTAAAATAGTACGCTTGATGTTAAGCAATTGTTGTTCAATATCATCGTCGGCTACTGTAACAGGAATTCCTTTTCTTTTACAAATCTGATGATAAAGATTTCTACAACAGGTTTTAACTCTCGTCAACTCTAAATATTTCTCAATCGCTGCCTCTTTTATTTTCGAAACTAAAGTTTCCCATTTTAAAGCTTGCGCTTTCGCTTTTTCGTATCTTCCTTGAAGCATTGACAATTTATTGTTTAATCTGATCAACGTTTGCGACTTTACATCCGTCATATGATGCTACAAAATTAAATATCGAATCAAATTGTTTCAATAAAAAAGAAATGAAATTAGCTTACTATGTTTGTTTCGGTTTCCTCTAAAAATTGTATATTTTTATCCTGATCTTCGGAAAGAGATGCCTTAGCTTCGATTAAAGATTCGTATCGTTGAAAAATTTCTGTTATCGATTGAAAACTTCCGGTTTCATTGACAACCCTTTCGAGATAATTTTGATACTTCCTATAAATTTCTACATGTTTTTGCATCTTCTCGCACATCCCTTTCATATAATCTAGCTTTTCTTCTAAATCTTCGACCTAAACGAATATATGTATATTAAAATTGTATAAATTAATAATAAGAAAATTAAAGAAACACAAATTAATTGCTTACATCTTCTTGATATTTCGTTTGTCTTTCCTGCTCTTCGAAAATTTTTTGTTTCGCGCGTTCTCGTTTTTCTTGATTTTCTTTAACAAAAGTATTATACTTTATGAAAGATTCTCGAAATATTAATTCTTGCTCCCTTAATTTATTCCACTGTAAATCCATTTCCTTTCTTTTCTCTTCTTGTTCGATCCACTTTTCGCGTAATTTTTGTTCAGAAATATTTAAATCTCGACGAACTTTTATTAATTCGAATGCTGGATTCATTCGCGGGACGTCCCATTCTGGATATTTTCTATTAAAAAGCGCGCAATTTGAAATTACAATAAATTTCCAAGGAATTTCAAAGATTTTTACTTTACCAATAATATATTTTTGTAATTTTTTATTTACTTGATATTCTGTGCCTCTTGTTTGGATAAATACAATTCTTTGACACCTTCGAGAGAATTTTTGGGAATTTCTGCTCGTTTGACGAAATCCAAATTATTTTGTCTACGTGCCGACATTTTGTTTTCTTTCTTAAATATAATTTCTCCGTGTTTTTTTCAATTTTTATTAATCAAATTTTTCTACGTCTCTTCCATAAAGGTTATATTATTATCGATCAAACAGAGATTTCATTGCTAAGTGATATAACTTAAGAGTTAACTTTCTATATAAGATGATATATATACTACAATATAATTTCTAGGCTAAACTGAAGAAAAGTGTATATAAAAAATAATGAACTTTTATTTTTCCCCAAGATGTTCACAGGTAACATAGCAACAAATAAAATATTAACAAGCCGTATACATTAATTATGGATTATGATAAATAAAATTTCTTTTTTATATACCATTTTCATATACGTATTTGACAATTTTCACGAGTGTCCTTCTTGTCCTAGTAGCGACAACTGTTTAAGAAGCTGTTTAGCATTTATAAAAGATGTTGAACCATATACAATTCTTTTATTAACTCCTGCACCACTCTTTTGCTTCACATAATCAGCTAAATTCTGATATTCAATATAATTTCCACCACCAACAATAAAAACTATAACTTCTTGGAATGTTGGTCGATTTTTAGGCATTTGCTCGGAATATTTCAATTGCTTTGGATCCAAGTAACAATATTCTTCGGTTTGAGACGATATCCTTGATTCTATAAGTTCATCAACTATTTTTGTTACTGGTAAATTGTGTTTTTTAACAACCAGATTCTTAACTCCTTCCATAACAAAAGAAGATCCCTGATTCATTAGTTTTGAAAACATACTGACGGTTTTGGTTCCACCTCCTTCATAACTACTTTGAATTTCTGCTATTCTAGTATAACTCCTCAGCCTTTTGATATATAGTAATGGACTTAGATCGCACCCTGCAGTTTCTAAAGCAGCTTCCAGTTTGTTATAATCCACATCAGACATATTATTCGTACAGATGTAATATATAATCGCTAATCTAAGTTTGTCTTCGGGTGTGCCACAATCTGGCTCGCTTATTGTATCAAATACGCTTCTATCCAATGTTTGTTTACTCATGATTTTTTCCTCCAACTCAAAATATGTATCAAGACGTCTGGATTTGATGTAATTTAAAATACCAGTAGCTATAGAAGTATGCATATCTATCAAACGTTTCATTTCTAAAAGTTGCGGTAATGAATTTACTGCGCTTGTTAATCTAGCAGTATTTGTAGAAACCATAGATAGGGCAACTTCGCTTTCATTATCTATACCCATGGAAGACTTTAGTTTTTTAACGTCTTCTTCATAAGTTCGATACTGTTCTAATTCTTCTTGAATAGCTTCAGCTACTCTTGGAAATGGACTACCCTTGTGTTGACACCAGAAACGATCTCTGCTATCTAATTCATATGCTCTGGTTTTGGAACGAGTTCCGCCTGCAGGAGACTTTCCAATATTTTCTTCTACTACTAATCTATTCAATGCCATTTCTAATACATCATGAGCCAATGCTTGATAAGTCCAGGTGTGATGTAAAGGAGTAGCCATATCTATATTCCTGTCTAGCACAATAAGTAAAGGTCTTTGGAAACTATAATGTCCAGATGTTTCTCCTTCAAAAAGATTATTTCTTGCATCCCAAACATTTTCTCTAATCTTTTTGTCAATCATTTTAGCGACCATTTCTGCAGCATTTCCTCTAGGACAGCGAATAATTGGGACTGTTCCCATTGTTACAAACACAGAAAATAGACAATCTACTATTATTTCCATAACGGATTCTATCTCGCTATCCTTCACTTCTCCTCTGTTGATAGCATGATACGATATGATGTCACTGTTTTGATGCCTCAATATGAAAAGATCGTCCTCTAAAGTAATAAAATTCAAATATTGATCGTATACTTTATGAATATTAGAGACAACTCCGCCTAACAAAGCAGCCGATGCTAAATCTTCCATTTTTTGTCTAGATATTGGAGATATAAAATTTAAATAATACATGTCATAAAGTCCATTCTGTAAATCTTGTCCGATTCTTCCCAAATTTTCATTGGTAGGTGCACAGAAATATATGGCCGGTACCTCAGGAATAGAATCTCTGTCTGAATGCAATTGCATATGAAGAGTAATACCTTGCTCTCTCAATTCTTTAACAGATATCAACGGTGAAATAATATCTTGACCAAGTCTATCGTAGATCAATATTTTCCATGATGGTATTGCCTCGTCGTGCTTTTGTTCAGGCTGATTTAAATTTAACATTTGCTTGAGAGCATTTATTTGTTTATCCCTTAAACTCAGCATTATAATCACAATATATTATCTCAATATTATAAATAAAATAATATCTATCGAAATGCAACTTGCAACGTCATCAATAATAATCTAGAGTAATATTGATGCCGACAGATCCACAGAACTTTCAATCTTTCAATTGAGTCTAGTACCCATTTAACGTTTTAACCTACCAACAATACTAGATCATTTATTAACACCCTATAACATAAGACTAGTAACAAAAATAAAGATATCCCTATGTCCACGTCGTCATTGGCGCTCAAGGTAGTATTAGAATTATAGAAATTAAATTTTCAAAAAAAAATGCAATAAAAATACGCGTCTCTATTAAATATTTGTCTTATTTTAATATTACGTTAAAATAAAACATATATATGAAGCAAGTAAATCATTTGTTAATAACATACTAAATGATTTGAAGGTTAAGAAACGGAATCGGAAAGTGTTCTATATAACTAATAAGTGGCCTACGTGAGATTTTGAAGAAACATAGAGACTTTAGTCCAGTCGAGATTTTATTGTGGCAACACTGCCCGGCAGGAAAATGGCGAAAAAATCGTATTGGGCAAGTAATATCTACGAAAAGTTCGTCGTAATTTCAATTATCTGTCTGTGACATGTAAATAATGAAAAAGGATTGATTCATATATCGACGCAAGAATTGTTTCGATATTTGTGAAGTAAAAAACTTTAAGCATTCGATGAGTTTTCGATGATACGTTTCTGACAGCATGTCTACAATGGCCGATGATTCTACTTCTTTGCCAAAAAGGCGTCAATTGGTAAACAAACATTTTATTAACTAACCATTGAAAAAATAATATATAATAATTTATAGAATTGTTTTTATAATATATACTTACATTACCTACTAAGTATATAACTTTCATTATTTCTTTTGTTTTGTATATGTGTGAATAGGCGAAAAGTAGAGTGAGAGTGAGTGAGAGGGAAAAAGAATAAGAAATAAATTGTTTCATTGTTTTTTCGTACATTATTCTATTTTTTATATGCATATAAATATATATTTATATCCATGCATATAAATTGTATATAGAGAGAGAGAACGAGAAAGTTGTACACGGATGACTGGGCTATAGGCGATGAAGAAATTGAAGGACGTAGAACTTTTCAGCTCGATGAAAAGATTGAGTGCGATAGATATGATCTCAGTCATTTTACTGGTTTGTTCCGTGAAATGAACGGAACAGAATTGAATCTTGCATATCTTCAGAAGCATGGACTTGGAATACCCTTATTGTTTAGGGACAAAACTGGATTAGGTTTGAGAGTACCTAGTTCTAACTTTACCGTCAACGATGTTAGAACTTGCGTTGGTATGTTATTATCTTACACACTTTTATTATCGACAATGATAGATATTTAAATAAAAATAATAATGTTCTTGCATTAGGTTCTAAAAGGATACTAGATGTTATGGATGTTAATACGCAGAAAAACGAAGATATGACAATGAAGGAATGGCAGAAATATTACGAAGATCAAAATAAAGAACGCTTGTTGAATGTAATATCGCTGGAATTTAGTCACACTAAATTGGAAAATTATGTACAGTCACCAACTCTGGTTCGTCAAGTTGATTGGGTAGACGTCATATGGCCGAGACACTTGAAAGAGTCTCAAGTAGAATCTACAAATCTTTTGGAAGATATGATGTATCCAAAAGTACAGAAATATTGTTTGATGTCGGTGAAAGGATGTTATACAGATTTTCATGTTGATTTTGGTGGAACCAGTGTATGGTATCATATATTACGTGGTGGAAAGATCTTTTGGCTAATTCCACCTACCGAAAAGAATTTGACTCTTTATCAAGAATGGGTATTAAGTGGAAAACAATCAGATGTATTTTTTGGTGATATGGTGGATAGATGCGGCAGAATTAGTCTTACTGCGGGAATGACTTTATTTATACCAACTGGATGGATTCATGCAGTTTACACGCCTCAAGATTCTTTAGTATTTGGTGGAAATTTTCTTCATAGCTTTGGTATTGAAAAACAATTGAAAGTTGCCCAAGTTGAGGAACACACTAAAGTGCCCCAGAAATTTCGCTATCCTTTTTTTACAGAAATGTTATGGTATGTGCTCAATGATGAAATATTTCTAACAGCTGTTTTTATTTGACTTATATATTAATATTACATTCTAGGTATGTTCTCGAAAGATACGTACACGTCCTGTTGGGCAGAAGTCACTTAGATATATCGGAATCTCAAAGGCAACATTTAGTTCCCCAACATCATCAACATGTCCATCTTACACCTTACGAATTACATGGTTTAAAAGCGATTGTCATGTATTTGCATTCATTGCCGTCTACCAAAAAGAATGTGCCTGAATTAATACACGATCCCGTTGCCCTGATTCATGACGTTAGATGTTTAGTCGAACAACACCGACACGATAGTCCTGAAGCAGCTGTAACTGGTAATCCAGTCTTACCACCACCGCCGGCGTTAACTATAGCAGAAGGAGTAAATATCAGAAAATATAATAAACTTTGAATCTACTCTTTTTATATACAATTTAAATTCAATGTCTTTCTTTTTTCTTTGTTTAATATTATCTTAATTAGGAACGTATGAGGATAACAAAGAAAACTTTTGTGAAAATACAAAGGCACCATTCTCAAGAAAAATCGGAAAGAGCGTTTCCAAGAAGAAGACGTACTAGATGCAAAAAGTGTGAGGCATGCACGAGAACAGATTGCGGAGAATGTATGTATTGTCAAGATATGGTAAAATTTGGTGGTAGTGGACGTGCCAAGCAGACGTGTTTGATGAGACAGTGCCTTAGGCCCATGCTACCAGTTACAGCAGCTTGTAAAGTATGCCAATTGGATGGTTGGGGTCAACAACCTGCTCCACTAATGGGTATTTATATATCAATATATGTTAGATCAAGTTAAGGTAAAAATGTGTGATCAGTTAAAACATATATTTGATAATTGTTTGTATATAGGTAAACCTACACCGACAGCACCATCGAGATTAGTAGAATGTTCCATATGTTTTGACATAGTTCATCCAGAATGTATAGGATTGGATCCACAAAGAATAACTGTAAGCGATGATTTACCAAATAGCTGGGAGTGTCCTCAATGCTGTGAAAGTGGTAGAAACTTAGATTACAGACCACGACAGCCGAAAGCACGTGCTCGTAAACTTTCAGCATCTAGTGCAGCCTCGTCAACACCTACAACAGATTCTGAAAGAGCCATGACGCCAAGTAAAAGATCGAGACTCGATCCAAATGAAGTAAGTGTATTAGAAGATTAAAATATGTAAATTATTAATAAATCATTACGATATAAGCATGAATGAAATAAAATTACAGACATGGAATGATAGAGAACCAGCTGAAGGCGAGCAAAGGACTGCTTTACGTACACAATTAGCTGTACAGTTAACTGGTTCAAGTAGTAAATCATTGAAAAGGCCTCACGTAGTAGTTAGGCCTGTTTCATTACCCCCTGTACAAAGATCTGGGTCAGACTTTAATGGACAATCGTTAGCTTACGATAAAACGGCTATGCTAGCCGTTTTTAGATTTTTGAACGCAAAAGACTTAGCAAATTGTGCCCTGGTTTGTCGTACATGGGGAAAATATAGTATAGATCCAAGCTTGTGGAGAAAACTTGATATGTCTCATTCTCATTTGACTGCCTCACATTTAACCGGTATTGCAAGAAGACAACCTGAGAGTCTCTCACTTGATTGGACGAGTGTAACAAAACAACAGCTTGCTTGGCTATTAGGTAGATTACCGCAACTTCGTACTTTGTCGTTACAAGGTTGCTCGTGGACAGGAGTTTGTGCTTTGAGAACTTGTAGTTGTCCTCCGCTCGTTACTTTGGATTTGAGTAATGTAGCTGGATTGAATGATTCGAGTCTAAGAGAAGTTCTTAGTCCTCCAACAGATTCACGACCTGGTTTAATTGACAAAACCTCCAGACTTAAACATCTAAAAAATTTATCCTTGGCAGGATGCGAAATCACAGATATAGCACTAAGATATATAGTTCAACATTTGCCTTATATCGAAACATTGGATTTATCTTCTTGCGGAAGAGTTACCGATGCTGGTGTAGCTCAATTGGCAACACCACCAGCACAAGCAGTCACCAATTTGGCATCATTGAATTTAGCCAATTGCAGGCTACTCACGGAGATAACATTAGATCATCTTGCAAGGTGTAAAGTGCTTAAACGTTTGGATTTGAGACATACTACTCAAGTGTCTACACAATCAGTTATTAAGTTCGCTGCTAAAAGTATTCATAATTTGCACGTGACTGATGTTAAATTAGTTGAAGAGAAAAAGGTTAATAAATCCGAAGTTACGTGAAAGGAACATGCCAAAATTTTATGCTATGCTTTAATCAGTGCAATTCAGTTTTTGAGAAATAAATAACGCAACAAAGTACGATAAGTGATTGGACAATCTTTGAGTGAAACACGTATCACTATATTTATTTATTAATAGACCAATTCGTAACTGTAATGTTTGCTTGGAATACATTTAATCTGAATAATGTGAGGGAGAAAGAGAGAAAAGTCAATTCGATAATATTGGATATATTCGTCCTGTTTTCTCTACGTGGAAAAATACCAAACCCTCTCCCAAAAAAGGTTTGTTTAATTTTTTTCAAATAGAGAAAATAGAGCAAATATGTAATACAATCCAATAGATAATTATTATCTTATCGATAGACTTTAATGAGAAACTAATTCTGAGTAAAATAGATTCTTCATTTAAAACGATTAAATTTTATAATTTTTTCTTTTCTTTTTTGTGTGTTTTTTTTCTTTTCCTTTGATTCAATTATTCCAATGATGTATATTTTTACATTCAATTGGACATATTCAAATAGACGATAGTAGAATGAGTCATTCCATCAGATCATTAAGCATTAACTAAATTATTTTTTAAAGTGACGCTTTAATAATATAAAAAGATAAACATTTTTTGAAAAATCATTTTCTTTTTTTTTTTTTTTTTTAAGTAAACGATATGGAAAGTGCGAAAGGATATATATAAATATCCAAACGCGCAAATGAGAAAGTTATTATGATGAATATTAGAATTGAGATTTAAAGAAAGGTAATTATTAATAAAAAAAAAAAATTAAACTTATGCATGCAATGCCTATGAAAGCAAAAAAATATACAAGGATTAGCTCACGCAAGAAATACAATTTTTTTTCCTCTTGATTTTATAATAATAATATTAACGTCCGATTTATTTTATATTAACGTAAGAAAACTATCATGTTCTAACCAACCAAATGTATATAAGCCTGCCTTTATTTTATAAAGTATTTCTCAGTTGTTCTAATTAATATATGTATTATATATATACATGCAGAAAATAATGAAGAAAATAATAGCATTAAGCAATAAGGTTCATAACGAGATGTTATTTATATATTACACTGAGTGTACTTTATAATTTAATAACTCGTACGAAAAAGTATTGTCCGATGTAAAAGCGTTATTTATGTTAGAAGTATTTCAAAAACAAAAGTATTCTTCTTTCTTAAATCATCTTTCTTTTTTTTTTAACTAAAGAGAAATGTAAAAATCTCGCAATGAAAAACATCTTTTTTTTAATTCATTCATTTTGACTTGTACTGTAACATTTTTTAATGTAAACGTCTAATTTTTTTGATTCAAGCTTTTCTTAGAAGAATAAAAAGGATGAAGGTTGTAATATTCTAACACATTGTATAATACATGTAATTTAGATATTATAATAGCAATATATATGTGTGTATACATATATATACATATATACATTGTGTATTTATATATATGTGTATATATAGATATATATAATCTCAAAATATAAATTTGAATTTTATGATGAAATCTTCATTCGTACCAGCTACCCAAATGACTATTTAATAATCGAAAAAAGAAAAAAATACAACAGATGTCTTAACTTAAAAATTATAATGCAAATACCTGCTATCAAATATTACCTCGCATAACTTTATATATAAATATCACTTTGAAAAAAATCACGTGTAGACACTTAAATGTGTATGTATGAAAGTTCACATATATGGTATTTGCATTATTGAAAATATAATAAAATCATTTTGTGCCGGGTATGGTTAGAAAAAAAAAAAGCTCTGTACTATATAAATAAAAAGATGTACATAATATACGTATAATATTAATATTCCGTGTTCAGAGTTACTGCTATTTCATATTTTAGTACAACCGACTTCAATCTATTTTTGATTAGTAATTATTATTTCTAATGTTTTTTAGATATATATTGAACAATTATATTTTCTCCTCAATCTAAGTGTAACTCCGTTTATATTTAAATACATTTAAAAACATTTGAAATGTGTCTAATTATAAGAAGAATATTTTTGTTTTCTTTCTAATTGTAAGAAAAAGAAAATGATTATTACATTCACTTTATCAATACATTTAAAATTTTTAATTTAATGTACACCACCGATAAAAATAAAAGTATGTTCTTGATATATCATAATAATTTTATTTTAATAATTGTTAACATTGTATCTCTTCTTTTTTAAACTTTTAGTTGTACATTCAAATTCGATAGTATCGACGATACGAGATATGATTAACTTCGTCCAATCAGGAGCAAGCTGAGATTCAACGGACCAATGATATATGTGGAAGATTAGTCGTAGAGTATCGCTTATGGCGGACACTCGAAAGCAAATTGAACATAAGTTTCTTATCATAGTGTGTCGATATTAAAGTCGTTTCAAATTATTTAAAATCGATTGTATGTACGCAGTACAATATCAAACTCTGCAGTTAACATTACAGCAATACGACTCATTACAGTTTATGCAACGGCGTTTTTGAATTAGTTTGAAAATAAACGTTGAAGGCTAATAATGTAAGTTTTCTATATTCTGTTATAAAATAGATTTTGTTCTGTTTTGCTAATTTAACATATAAAGGATAAATATATAAAAATTAAATATTACATACAATATTATATATTATAGAGATTTTTAGTTAAATATTATTTTAATTTTATTTATATATATTATGTTCTGTATGAAGCTATTCAAAATGCTTTGTCAATATAGCTGAAAATACCTAATTTTATTAAAAAACATTTTACATGATATAGCAAAAAATAATGTTTATCTATTTGATACAAATCTGAAAAAAATGAAAAAAAATGAAAAAAAGAGAATTCTATCAAGATTTATATATTCTACAAATGTTATAATCAAAATCAAATGAATATCAAATGTAGGTGTATGCGTATTATTACGAGAGTGTTATTTTTTATCATTCATAAAATTCACTATATTTCAATATGTAATACCTATATGTGTAATATGTATACAATCGTTTGTACTTATTGATTATTTAACTTATATTGTAACTTAACCTAATTCCGCCAAGACAGAATCCAAATCTTCTTGTAAAGTAATACTTTCTTCTCGTTGTTTGGCTAAATCGTCTTTGAGTCTGTCAACTTGAGCTTTTAAGAGATAATTACCTTTCTTTAAAGCAGCCAATCGATTTTCGTGTCTCTTCACGTGTTTCTAGAAAAAGTAAGATATATATGATTAATCGAAAAGTTTAAGATATATTATTGCAATGTTATTCAATGCATACTTGTAGAATATTTTTCTCTTGTTCCATAGTATGACCTCCTTCATCTATTTCAGATTCTTCTTCTTCTTCTGACTCTTCGGATTCAGATTCTTCTTCAGACTCAGTTTCCTCATCTTCTTCTTCGTCTTCTTCTTCATCGTCTCCGTCTGTATCAGCCATTAACTTGGCCATTTTGTCAACCTCTTTTTGTAACTGCTTGAACTTCCGTTTCTCTTCTTTCAATAATTTCTGTTGCTGCTTTATTTGTTCCTTCAAGGCATGTCTCTCTTTTCTTGCATTAACGGCTTTGTCCCTAATATAATAGAATATATTTTAGAAATAGTTGATAATAATTTAGACAAATAATCTTACTACGCACATAAAGGTTTTCACTTTGGACGATAATAATTTAATCTCTCTCTGTAGACGCTTCTCAGCTGATACTTTTGGATCTTCTTCCTCCTCTTCCTCTGTACTTTCTTCTTCCTCTTCTTCTGTTTCGCTCATATCTTGTTGCTTACTCTCCATACTCTTTTGAGATGCAATTCTTGCAACATCCTTTGCACTTGGACATCCAGCCAATGCCATTCCTGAAAAATTGTACCATGCCTCTTCTGTCTTATCCTCAGCTAATTCCACAATCGGTTCAGTATTGTTATCATCATCATCATCATCATCATCATAATCATCATCATCATCATCATAATCATCATCATCCGTGTTATCTACACAACCCTCTCCTAAAAAGCACAATTAGTAGAAGCGTTATAGCCAGCTGAAGCAAAGCAATATAGAAAATTGAGACGCAGTTAGTGCAGCTGCAAATAATAAAGCTAATTAGAATGTTAATAAACATATATATTTACATGTAACTTAGAATTAAATCTTTTCCTCAAAACTTACCCGCTTTCATACGCTTCTCCAAATTGGCATACATTCGTTTTATTTCTTCCAATTCATTTTTATACTTGTCTCTTTCCTCTGCTGTACTAGCATATTCTTTTTCTAATCTCTCTGCGTCCTTTCTTGCTCTATGAGCTTCCTCTCTCAAAGACTCTGTCAACTTTTCATCCTGTTGTTTGTATTCCTGAACGTTTCTTTGCGATCTCGTTCGTTCCACCTCAGCCTCGAGATTTAAAATTCTTGCCTGTAAAAGGAAAATGTGTCGATGTTTGATTAATGGAAATGATTGATTCTTTTAATGCACACGCGGTTTTAAAATCACCTGCAATCTTTTATTTTCTCTTTCAAGAGCCTCTTTGTTTCTAAGTTCAATGGCAAGCATTTGTTTAGTACTTTGCAAATCGTCTCTAACTGCGTCGATGTCATCGTCATCTATTACGTCATCCGGCTCTGCTTCCGCCTCAACTTTTTGCATTTGTTCCTCTATCGTCAATTGCCTTCTAAATTTTCTAAGACCCTCCAATATTGGTTTAGATCTGTCGTTGGTCTTAACGCTTTTCAATTTAACGCCCTGCTGAATCTGCTTCAGCAATTGATTGTGCATGTTCGACTTTTCTGACTCGAATACAAAATGGGCCTTACCTGTTTCAAGAGAGAGAAGGATAAAAAACAAAGAAAGGAGAAAGACAAGAGTCTAAGCCTTGCTTGTTTTCAAAGAAATCCTTTTGAGCGGTGCCTTGACACAAACCTTCAATTATATATTATGCGAGTCATAATTTATCATTTGATCATTAATTATTTATATATCTGGTTATACAAAAGAAAAAGAAACATACTTGAAATAGAAAGAGGAGTTAAGAAGAGAGGGGAGGTAGAGATTAATTCACAAAGAAAGAGAGGGAGAGGAAGGAAGGAAGAAAAGAAGGAAGAAAGGGAGAGAAAAAGAGAGACAGACCGGTGGTTAATTTCCACGACATGTAATAAGCAATTTAATTGGCTTAATATTTGAACAATGAACACAAGACACCAACGTAAGGTTTCTCTTCGTTCTCACGAGAAGGAGAAGGTGGAGGGAGGGTCAGATAGTATAAAAGCAAAGGAGGATAATAAATATGGTATTTGTACTACAAACACAAGATACTGATCATAATACAGCCTACGGGAAACGTTAATTGAACGATAACTCATTAACAACGTAATTAACTTCTCATCTGTTTGGTTGCACAAGAGGTTGGTAGGTGAGAAGAAAGGGAAATAGCGGTATATGTAGAAAGAGATACACAGATATCATCGTAATCTGTTACTAAAAGGTAGGACCGAGATAAAATCGAGGATCACCTGCTGGATCAGCCGTGACCTTGTTAACCCTTTCAATTAATGGTGCACTTCTGTCGTTGCAAGTGACGTGTTTAAGACGTCTACCACTTTCAACTTCCTTCATCATGCTCGCCCAGTCGGGACGTTTCCTAGGTCTAGATTTCAGCATCTCTAATTGTTGTTCCTGACTCTCGGTTAGCGGTGGTAAATCTTTCAGGATAACTCGACTTGGTGGTGGCGGTGGTGGTCTTGGCGGGGGTGGAGGTGGAATGGCTGCTCTCGAGGAACTCTTCGACAACGTTGGTGCACCTGCAAATAGTGCAAAACCTCAATTAATGTTTACATTTCAAATCTACAAGCTTGAATCAGTAAAGAACTTTTTTTATTCCACCTCTTATTCGCGCGAGAATCGATTAGTTTTTTCTTGAAAAATAAAATTGAATGAAAGGGTTGTTACCAGTGGTACTTTCGCTCTTGGAAAGTGGTATAGTGTCACCTCGGGATCGAGATCTCTCAATACGAAGTTGTCGTTCGAGTTGCGGCCTCGAATTTGGCTCCTGTCGTCCATTCTCTCGTGGCTTCGATGATGGAGGTGTACTATTTGTCGTCGTAGTCGATTTTCCTGTTGCTGTAGTACTTTTTTCATTTTTTGGTTGAGACGGTATTATTGTGATTTTACTCTGTTTGCGTGGTGCTTGAGCAGTTTCGGTCGATTGCGGTGCTGGTTCCGTTGGTTTAGAGACACTCTATACATATATTAATCGAAAAGCAACATTAATTACAATTGTCAGGTGGATGGAAGAGAGATGAGATTCGTTCGTCGCATGGTAAAAATATTTCTCTCCTGATTCACTTCTATATAAATGTAATTTTTAATTGTGCAATTATTTGGATGCACTTTTTTTTTATCGTCCGGATAGTAGGGATGAAAGAAAACGAAAGAATCGATTAGTCATGAAAAAAAAAATAGGGAAATAAACAAGAGAGAGAGAGAGAGAGAGAGAAAAAGTGAGAAAGGGTAGAGAAGGGGGTGGAATTTTAATCTTGGCAAAGCGTCGACATTCGGTCGTCTTTAAATAATTCGAACTTTGAATCTTTTTTTATTTCTTTTTTTATCGCCGAATAAGATAGACTCCAAATTAAAACTTTTTTTTCATTCGTTTTTCTAAAGTTTTTTCATTTGATCTAATTAAGCTGAAATTTGTATTATTGTTATTGTCGATGTCATGATACAAGTCGAAGGATTTTGATCGAATCGGAAAAGTGCATAATCGTAGTTAGTTGTGATCTTGGGGGCGCGCGTACTTTAACACGTAGAAGGCGTCATATAAAAGCGTTAGGAAACTGGCGGAAGACGCAGCTGGCAAGACATTTGAAATAGAAACCCGTGTTCTTTAAATAATCGTGACCCAGAGGGACTTCTACGAGGGCGAGACGGAGAAAGAAAGAGAATTTGTAAGCATTCGCAAGCATTCGTAAGCATTGAGCAGGAGACGAGCTTCAAGATCGTTTCTACAATTGCGATCTATGCCGACGAACAAGATATATGCAATTTTAATCATTTCATTTGCGAACAGCCATTCACGACTACGATCCTACATCTATCTAGTTTTCGACACATTCATTTTTGATCGTTTATGTTTGTTTTTTTTACTAATACATTTTTAATATCGAATTCGAATTTTAAATCTCGAATTCCTGGCACACTTACATTTTACATTCGATCAATATCAAATTCGAGGATGATCTAATCTTACGAAAGTGTGTACAATCCGTTATGTAAATGAATGCAATATATTCATCTTCCAAATTATTGTTCTTTCATTAACCTATTCTTTCTCCTTCTCAACAAAAAACAAAGCTGAAAAGCTTTTTATCTATTTTGGCTTTTTTCCAAGAAATTGAAAGTAAAAAGAGCGCGAACTAAAGATAAACAAGAAGAACAACAATAATGTTGTGAAAAAATTAAATTGCTCGGAATAAATAAAAGCGAGACAGCTGATCGAAATTTTTAACGAACCTGCTCTAATGCTCATATTGTTTAGCATACCAAATTAACACGAGTACAATGTTTTTTCAGATTTAAACGTTGAGAAATGTTTATAAAGCATACACATTGCAGAACACCCCCACGTTTGCTATTAATACTTCGAGTTAGTTTTAAAGTCCTGACTTTGAAACCCAATACGTGAATGAAACAGGAGTTCGCGAATGATATTATTCGAAGTATTTTTCATATTAATTTTTTCCAGTAAATTTGATAAAAGAAATTATAATGAAAACATTCAATTTTTCGACATCGAAATCATTTGTTGGTTTTAATCAATTTTGTCCAACTTTTCTATACATTCTTTTATCAGGAATATAGAATATAAAAGAGGAACAATTAGAAAAGAAAAAGAAAACCATACCTTTAATGTAACTTTGGTGAAAGCTGGGGGTTCATCGGCCTTCGTCTTGGAGTCTCTTCTAGAATTGAGAGTCCAAGGTGCAGTGGGCATGGGTAGAGGGTTAGGACCACCATCCTTGACCCAGGGTGGTCGAAAGGTAGTCCTTTGTTGCGGTGGCTGACCACCGGCACCAGGCATCTTAACAACTTCCTTTTGTCAAGCCCTTCGATACTGTCTTCTGATCAATTTGAAAATAATGCTTTGGTCGATGGACCGCAGCAACCAAATAAAATATTTCTATTTAGGTAACACTTTTTTCTTTAGGACAAATATGATACACCACTGACTACGAGTAAAATGGATTATTTCGGGAGAATGATCAAATTAAATAATAAGAAAAGGAGTGGGGACGAAGAAATTAGGGTGGGGATGATGAGTTTGAAGTTAGGTTAATGACGAACAATCCACTTTTGTTAAGATTGTTTTACTATTCTTTCTCTCTCGCCCCCCCTCTCTCTCTCTCTCTCTCTCTTTCTTCTTTCTTTGCCGACAAATAAGTTGGAATTCACTCCGATGAACTCCGACAAGTTAGAAGATTTTTGAGAGTCTGGGAAAGATCGAGACCTGGACCACACACCGGAGCTCTACCAAACTGCACCTCCCTAACCGTGTGATATTTTGGTAGATCTGACGTCACGTAGAGTCGCAAGCTCGAAATAGAAATTGATACTCCTTCTTTCTACTTGTCTTTTCTTCCTATATGACAATTTTTTTCTATCTTTCTTTCTTTCTTTTTCTGCCCATAGTACGGTTGAAGTTTCTTTAATAATTATTTGGATACCAAATTCGATTGCTGTTCCTTTCGTTACGTTAACTAGAAGTAAACATGAATAATACATTGAATGATTATATAGTATTCGTTGAAAGTATTGCAAGGTTTATTCCAAAATGTCAACCCGCCGGTTTTCGTTAGAATCTGATATGACGCGTTTTTACGAGTATCGCGAATGAATTTCGATTGAATTTACGTAGGAGAATCGAATGTCGGTTCGAGTTTGGTATAGTACAAATCGATCTGTCCCTATTTTGTTCCACATAAATGTCCTTTATTTTTAAAGAATCTTATCAGAATGGGCCTACTTGACCTTGTTGAAGGGTTGGGCGTCTCCGTGAAAGGCAGTATCAGTTGGCAGCGGAAAAACGCAATGAGGCGTATCTGAGGCATAATTATTACCAGCAGACAGCGAGATATTTCGAAAGAGAGAGCAGAATAGCTAAGCATTACGACTCTTGGAACGTGAAACTTGCCGATCCTGAGGGTAAGCTTGAGAAAGAAGCTATAAGGAAAACAAAAATCGATCGACTCCTAGAAAGGAGAAGCAAATTGAGAAAACTTTTGAAGGAAGACGAAGATATCTATCAAGGAGAATTGAACGAATTAAATAGACAAAAAATCAAATCCAAAGTCGATAATTTGTCATTGGAGGATTTGAAAAAGAAATTAAAAGAGAAACGCATGGAACAGGATCTTTATTTGCCTGTTACATGTCGAAGATTGCGTTCATATTTTCTCGATCCTAAACCAATTTCAAGTATTATTTCGAAACTTAATCATAATCAAAGCATTACTAGTAACAATAGTAATAATAATAGTAACAATAATGTCATATCAAATGATTGTACGGAACGTGTATATTTAAAGGATACGACTAATTTACCTAAAACTAGCCAAGAAATAAATCGTAGCAATTCTATTTGTGTCAAGGGTATGTCCGATTGGAACCATCAGAAGGATCGATGCGATAATAAAATTGAATTTAGAGCACGCAATCAAAAGTATTCGGCACGCTATGCACGTAGGAGTTTGGAAAATACAAATGTCAGACCTGGCCATGATTTTTCCGACTGTTTCTCGCATCGTTTACAGGAACCAATGATGACGACGAGAACGACTACGATGACGACGGCGACGACGACGAACAGCAGCAGCAGCAGCGACGTGGTGGACGATGACAATCTTAAGAGCGATGTCGTTGACGATATTTCGATTTTGAAACAACCAATGGCCGATGTGGATGATCGACAGGAGCCTCCGATCCTTCCTGAGGTTCCTTCCGATAAGGATTTAAACTTAAACAGGACCGATCAAGAGAAAACAGCTGGTAATCTCGAACGCGACAACAAAGGCAAAATAGATCATCACAGTTTTGAAAGAGAAATGAATTATCCTTGGAGTAGAATGGACCCTCGCGATAAAAATCTGTCAGAAAAGATGTATCTCTTTTTGTCTTACAAAGATCTCAAATCCCAAATTAATGATCTTTTGAAGAGAGAAAATCATGCTTGCGAGAGACAAAGATGGGACGATGCTATTAGATTAAGGGCTATGAAAAATGAATTAGAGTTAATTAGGGAGAAGCAAATTTTTAATATGAAGAGTCTTGTCATGGACGAAGACGTTCGGGATAAGGCCCTGAAGAATATCGAGAAGAGGGAATCCAATCTTGCTCTTCGGGAAAACGCATCCACCGATACATCTATGTATAGGTAATTTATTTATAAGAAATTAATAATAAATATTTGTTGCTACACTTCCTTATTTCGTTATAAAATATGCATACAAAATTGATTTCATTACGAACGAACACTGTAACTCAGTGTTAAGGTTCTAAGGGCAAACAGTTAATCCAAACTTCTTGTCCAATGTCGCAATAGCAACCCTGAATCATTCACAAACATCCAAATAGAAGTGCCAAGAAACATTTCGACCTACTTGTCTCATTCCAATGAATATTTCTAATGTTCCAATTTCGAAAGAATGAAATACTCATCCTCCGCATTCCTTCCTTCCGTTTTTTTTACCTGAACAGAAAGAAATGATGCAGTTAGTAATTAATCACGCGTATGATTTAAACGTCAATTTTTAATCAAAATCAGACGAAATGTTAATTCGTATGTATGTGTGTGTATGTTTGTTTAGCGACGGTGCAAAGGTACTTTGGGAGAAATGGGTCAAAGAGGATAACAAATTTATCATTAAGGATGCCTCAGCTCAAAGAGAAATTTTGATAAAAGAACTGGAAGAGGAATTTGAAAATTTAGCTGTGAAGGACAAGGAACGAATCGTTAAGACTTATCGAAATGTCTATAACGATTCACATTTGAAAACTCGACGTCATTTTAATACAAATACGACTGAATAAAGGTCTAATTCGTCCGATGTGAAACTGTAGATGATATTGGTTGAAAATCTTTGCTTTGATATACATTAGATTAGGCATTTGTTGTGTCTTTTTGTTGTCGATATTAGTTAATAGAAAATATAATCTAACTAATCGCAAATTAATCTAACCAAGAAAGTTTATAGTCCGGATCCGAACGACGTTTCTGTAACTAATTGTCTTTTAATATTTTCTTGTTCACTTTTACACACGTTTTTAAATTATTATTATTATTATTTCATTGGTAGTTTGATGATTGATTAAAGTTATTAGGATTGTAAGTTTGTAAGTTTAAATTGCGGATCTGTAAATTTGATATGAGCTAGTTAGGTTTCGATAAATATCTTTGCGTTTGAATCAATTTTATATTTTTATAATTAAGTATACAACACAATATCTGAAAACGTTCGTATATAGTAAATAAATAAATAATTCGAAAAACTTATATATCTATATAATAATTGTTAAATAATAAATACAAAAATATTAATAATAAATATAGAATCAAATCTCAATGGAATAAGGCGACATTATTATTAGTTCGAACTATATATTTTTTATAAATTAAAAATGTATTAATCTTTAAATTGAATTACATTTAAAAATATTAATTGTTCTGTTTTATCGATGGACGTTAAAGTAGAGCAAGTCACGTGGCTTGTAGTTTAGCCGTAGTTCTTAGATGGCAGCACCATACTCTTTTTCATTTGGTAATAAAAGCGGGAAATTATTTTTCAATTTAATTCAAACCTAATGTGTTTGTTTCTCTTTCGTTGTATTTCAGAAACTGCTCTATTACTTTTTCTAAATCTAATTTTAAAGAATCGTAAATCGTTATTAATTTGTTTTCTTTTTATAAAATCAAATAGAGAATACTTTTAATCGTTTAAAATTATATCCTAAATCGAACCAAATCTGATTTATAAAATATGTTTGTAATTGTACATTATAAAAAATATAACATGTACCCAATTTCCAAGGCAATTAACGGACTGCATTGGGAAGAAACATTCTTGGCTAAAAAGAAATCTTCCTCACCTAGATTTGCTCAGGCATTATTCCCCTTATGCTTTAATTCCTCATCCCTCCGTTGAGCTAACTCTTAAGAGGACGACAACGCGTCGAAGAAATTTCAAGAGAAACACTTTCGAATAGGTGGTCGTCGTTAATCTCGCGAGCTGAGGCGGTTGACAAGTACCAAATTAGTCGGGTGATCCGTCAAAAAGCGCATTTCCGCGCGAGACTCAGGAACGAACCGACCGACCAACCAATCAACAAGAGTTCCTACAAAAGCGGGAGAGATATGAACACAAAGTACCACATGGTCTTGACCGAAAGTATCCGCTACTGCGCATGTGAGATAGAAATAGATGAGAGAAAGACAGAAATGCCACGACACATATCTATGAGATGAGTTGAAGGGTGGTGGTAGGTGGTGCGAGCAAGTATGACAAAGAGACACCGAGAGAGATACTCGAATCGTGAGTGCAATGGTCCATGAAACCTGCCTGGCTGCTCGGCACCACCCAGAGAGAGAGGGAGAGAGGGAGAGACGAGGGAGAGACGAGGGATGCAGCCACGCCAGCTATGTTAATTAAACGCGTTTCTAGCAACCCTGCATAGGAAATGGGATGAAGAAAGAAGAAAGAAAGAAAGGAAGAAAAAAAATAGGATGTGGCTGCTGTAGTAGTTGCTGGAGGAGGACCGAGAAAGAGGGTGCCGGCTAATAACACGTCCCGTACGACGAACACACGCCACACGCCCTCCTCGCCTCTCCTCTCACCTCCCCACTTACTATTTGCCCCTACTACACTACTACTACTACTACTTCTTTAACTGAGTTCCACTCTTTTCTCTAACCTCATCTTCTATACCAGCGAATATATCCTCTCTCTCTCTCTTTCTTGTAGGCAATTATAGTTTCTATGGATTTCTGATGAGTATTTTTGAGATGAGAAATTAATGGGTTAATGATTCAATGATTAGGAAGCGTTTTTCTGGTGTTATTTAAGAGTAATTAGCGTGATTGGGTAAGTGGAATCTCTCCTTTTTAGTTTTAGGATTGTTAGGGTTGCGTCTAACTTGGTAACGAGAATTCGACTAGTAGTATAAATAAAGGAATGAAAACATCTCAATGGAGTAAGTAAAAAAGAAATGATTTTTCAGAAGAATTTGTAAAGATCCATGGAAAAGTAGGCCGAGAGGGTATGGAAGACGTTGAAAAAGGAAGTTACGTCGTCGACAAATTAGCCTGCCAATAGCAGTCGGGCTGACGTCGTCGGTATACTCTTTGGTAAAGACTCCAAGCGTTTCGCGGAAATGTTCTGTGCGTAGGGACCACGTGCTTCGATGGCCCCTGTTAAAGGGAAGAACTAATTAAGAGTGCATATGTCCGAACGATGAGCCAACTTAATCATCGTCGGGAAAATTTTCTGTTGACAACTGATTAACCGTGTTACCCTCCCAACAGCTGATTAGCCCCAGCCATATTTCTTTTTTATTATATACCTTTGAATATAATAAATTTACAAAATCGTAGCATAGATAAAATTTGTCTTTCTTTAAGATACATTATAGTTGAGAATATAAACATTTTCATGTATTATTTATAATATTAAACGAAAAGAGAATGGAATACTTAAGGATTTCTCGAGGCAGCAATCGGGTTAATTGAAATTTACGCAAAATTCGTTTTGGAAAAGAAATGAGAGGGAAAGGAAGACGTATAGCTCGCGTATATCGTTTATAATATTTTCGTCCGAGCAATCGTGCTAATACTGGGTGTCTTACTTGAAATAAACAATCGTTATTAAAGCAGTAGGGTTGGAGATATTTGGGGATTTCATTTAAAATGAGACACCCAATATATCTATATACATTTATAGAGGTTCGTTATTAAATGAATTATACGACTACGATTTCGTTCGGCGCGAAAATTTATTACATTCCGATTAATATCCCTCGCAGCACAATGGCGCGTGCACTCGTTAGAATACATCGGATTACATCGTTTTGCCATCTCTTTGCGTATTGCAGAGAACAAATTTACCAGAGCGTAGTAGTTACGATCGTTGAGCTTTCAAAGTCCCAAAATATTTTTTACAAATTAAAAAAGATCTACGAATATAAAATAAAAGGTTTGCGAGATCAAGAGGAACCTAACTCTTTTTCTCTTTGTCTACACGTAAACCTTGTCAAATAGATTTAATAACTGAGAAATAAATATAAATGATCGTTTCATTAATAATTAACGATATAAAAAGGAAAGAGAACGAAAAGATCAAATGTTGTCGATGTTCTAATTTCGAAAAAGATTATCAAAGTTATTACTTTGTAAGTTTTACGTACACGTGTTAAATCGTGTAGTACCATTTGGCCCTGTCGAATTTTCAAATCTAATTTTTAAAGTTTTCTTTTTTATGTCAATATTGTTCGAATGCAACAACGAATTGATCCCTCATAACTGAATTACCAGACTAATTTAAAGTCGAGAAAGAGAGAGAGAGTCTAAAGTTTCCGCATCGACGTTACTTCTTTCTCTCTCTCTCTCTCTCTCTCTGTTTCATTTAATTTTTTTATGTTCTCTTGAAACGTTCATTGGTCCAGCCGTTGTTCCTTCGAACTCAACCACGGACATGGCAATTACCGTGAATTAGCATTTCTCTCGGTTCACCGAGATAGAAAAAGGCAGACGGATGAACAGACAGACAGAATAGGAAGAGAAAGGGAGAGAAAAGAAATAAAATAAAGAGAAACGAAAAGGGAAGAAGAATTTTTAAAACAAATTCGAATGTTTGTATTTTTTGTTGTACTCTTTTCAGCAAACAAATAATCATTTTCTCACGCTACCGAGACGTTACTCAGAACAAATAATTAAACTGTGTCTTTGAGAACGGAACGAAATGATGGCGGACGGAAATCTACACGCAAACGTGATTTTCGCGATATAGTTTTTGCGGTTAGGCGATCGCTCGGTGCTTAGGCTTCTTTCCCTTCTCGAAATGGACTCGCTGCTTTTCTCTCTCTCTTGGTATATTAGAAAGCCGTTACAACGTGGCTCGCCACTTATTTTCTCCATATCGAGACTACGCAATTTGTGTTATCTCAAAACAATAATTCCTGAGAACAACTCGAAGGTTATTACGATGAACGTTGGAAAAAAGATTACATTATTTTCTATTTCAGAGTAAAATTGTTCTATCCTTTCTTTTTACATATGTAATTATCGAACTAAATGATTTGGAAAAATGATTTATCATCCGACAACAACGACCGCCACCGCAGTAATCCCAATTTAACCACAAAAATAACAAGAATAACGAAAACAAGTACGAAAAAGAAAAACTATCTCCCTTCCTCTCTCTCTCTCTCTCTCTCTCTCTCTCTCTCGAAATATTCAAAAGAGAGAAAAAAAAATGGGAAAAAATTGCAGCCTTCGGGCAGGGGACTCTCTCGTGGCTTCCGCCGTTCCGCGATACGTTCTCCACCCTCTCACCTACCACCTCCGTCCACCTCCGTCCACCTCCGTCCACCTCCGGCCACCCCTCCATCCTCTGCCTCCCACCAGGCTTCGCACTTTCCGTTAAAGACATGCCGAAGAGTAAAGGAAGAAAAGAATATACTTCAAAGCACGCGTACGTTCACTTACACGCAAGAGAAAGAGAGAGAGAGAGAGAGGGTGGGAGAGGGTGGGAGAGGGCCGGGAGGGAGGAATATCGCTAAAGCACGCGTACGTTCACTTACCACGCAAGACGGTCAGAGAAAGAGAGATAGCAATATCGTTGAATATCTATAGTTACATACGCTATATGCAACTTCCCTTTCAGGCCCCCGCTTCGGCCCCTTTAAGCAAGCCTGTTATGTAGAAAAATAAGTACGTTGAGCCACCTAGAAAGGTTTCACGTGTGCGCGAGAGAGAATGCACTTCTCGGCACCTTTTCCAACTTATATTCTCTTTCCATCTTTTTCTATCCCTGTTGTTTTTCTGTATTTCTTTCTTTCTTTCTTTCTTTCTCCCTCTCTCCCTGTTGGTTGACGTCGTGTGCGTGCACACGTTTCCCTGTACACGTCTTACCGTCATCGACGACGACGACTACGACGACGACTACGACGAGGACGACAAGGAGGAGGACGAGGAGGAGGAGGACGACGAAGAGGAGAGGACGTACGTCGATGCCTCTGTGTGTACATACATTAGGTACCTGTGCGTATATATAGGTACCTATCTATAGGTACCAAATGGTAAATGAGAGGGTAGACGTCAGGTCCGGACGCCCGCAGCTAGCGGCGACCCAAAGCTCCGTCTACCGCGGGGCTGTATGTGCCACCAGATCTAACGGGTGATCTCTTTTTTTCAATATAACATTTACCCATCCCTTTACTACAAACTTTTCTATAATTTTTCGCGTTTTGTTTACACAATTCTATCGAAAAATTCGCAA